TCTGTGATTCTGTGATTCTGTGATATTAAGAATTAAATGGAGCAGGATTAAATGTCTGCAACGTTCTTCCAAGTGGTGTGACTTTTTTGTGACTTTACATGTTTAAACCCTGGAAGCTCTTTATTTTTCGAGAATGTGAAAGGCCTTGCCTTTTAGGAACCAACAGCTTACTTTGAATCCTATAATGAGCATGTCTGGTGAAACCATTGTATGAAGACATGCAGCTCTCTATCAGGATTAAAACGGCTTCCTGCAGGATTAACTCCCTTTTTGTTACAAATTCATCCCTCTTCCTTTAACAAGTGATGGCAGGAGAGCAGGAGGGCTGAATGGTGGCCATCTGATCTGTGCCCACCTAATTGGCCAACTAATTATCTTTGTCAAGCAAAAGGTAGCATCTGATTTCTGGACTAGGAGAAAGTGTTGCTGGTGTGTTACCAGTGCCAGTGCTGAAGGTCACCTTCCTGATTCAGATGCCATCGGTTGGGTTGCTGTCCCACCCTCTGACCACCGATACCCACAGCTGAGAGGGCAGAGCAGCAGCACCTGAGGAGAAGCTGTATCAGACCTGTGCTGGCTGTGGAGATGGGAAATAGCTCTTGCCCTTGTCAAGGGCTTGGTACGAACAGAGCAGGGGGAAGGAAGGATCAAAGGATTTACTTGCCAGAGGGTAGTGATTCAGTCCTCAACATGGTCTTAGGTTACAAACACACCAACAAAAAGAGTCTTCTCCTGGCCACAGACGTTGAAAGAGTCCTGTATGCATCAGTGAACCCAACAGCAGGAGGATTAAAATCAACGGTAATGTGCAACACAGCGCTCGCTCTCTCCTCTAAGGGAGAGCGGGGTCACTTCTCTGCACGGGGCAAGTGAGTCAGGCAGGAGGGACAGAAGAGGTGCATTGCTTCTGTTAATAATGCAGCCTTACCCATCTCAATGTGATCTCCTAGGTGTTAGCAAAATCAGAAATAGATGTCAAGGCAGTTGCTAGAATAAAATGATGCTCCTCCTTTTTCAAGTAACAGGATTAGTTACCTGTACTGTAATCTGAGGATTATGCCAGATGCTCTCTTTGAAGTTATTGATCACTTGAGGTGGTTGGTTTTGTTTTTTTTTTTTTGAATTAGCATAGCATGTAAACATTGGGATGCTCTTTGCATGCCAGTAAGCTAGTTTAATATTTATACTTCCTATACAAGAGATGGAAGATGCACTTGCAACCTGCTCTGTGGGCCAACAGAGTGTTCCACTGGCAGATTTTGGTGCATTTCTGTGATCAAGTTTCCTCTGCTGAGAACGGCCAGCATTCACCCCCAGTTCTCCCAATGTAAAATATTGTCTCAGAAGTCCATGGCCTTGACCTGAGTTATTTTCAAACAGGAAGGTGGCATTTTTTTCAGACAGTGGGGGATCAAATCTAGTAGAAACTCACAGCTCAGTTTCTAAGTGTTTCTCGCAGGCAAGAAGGTAAGTGGTGAACACTGAGATGCAACAGTTTCTATTTTTCTCTGTCAAGCAGCTAACTAGGAAGAGCATCTGTCTGAAATTCGCCACAATCAGTGTTTCATCCTTAAAGGGCTTAATTATGGTACTTGAATTACTGTCAATCTCTCTGTTGATTGGGAATAAAAATGCCTCCCTCAGTCCCATCTATTTCCTTCACACAATTATACATCGCTTTCTGTTATCTTTCAGAATATATAATTTCAGTGTGAAATTTCTGACACTCATGTATCAGACAGCTGACAGACTGCCAAGCTTATAAATTCTTCTGGCATTCATTGAGAGACCAACATTGTAGCTATTTCATAAGCATTTTCATAGCTGCTACCTAATGTCAAGACAAGAAGGTGGTAATATTAAAAAGAGAGTGCTTTCTGTCCTCTGCAAAGACAATATTTTTTCCACAAGTACTAACTTTAACTAGTAACGTAGAGAAGGCATAAATGAGGGAAAAAATGGAGTAGAGGAGGAAGCATTCAGATACCTGAGCACTTCATGTGACTGCCTTCTTTTTCCTTTCCTTAGGCTGAAAAGCACTTCACTTCCTGTATAAGAGGTTATTCTAGTCTACAGCCAGGTCATTACAGCTATTAAAGTTTATTTTACATTTAAACTTTCCAGTCTGACCTGTTCCTCATCCTTAATCCAAGCCTTTCTTTTTTTGTAAGTGGATGAACACTAGAAGTGCAGAATTTGATTTTGAACCCCTTTCTTCCAATGAGCTCAATTAATAGAGTCCATAATTTTTTTTTCTCTGTTTTTGTAGCTGTCATAAGTTTACAGGCTTGTTTGGTATTCTTGTTCATTGGGTTGGATTTTTTATTTTTGCTTTTGTGTTTCTTTCAAGTATTCCCTGTAGGTCCATTATCAGCGATTAGCTATATACAGCTAGGCTTTGATCAGCACTTAACTCTACTGTTCCTTTGAGAGCACCAAAGCATTTCATATTCTACATTAATTATAAAAGGAAGTATTTGTTTGTCTTCCTTATCAGGTGAAATGCAAGCACTCTTCATAAAATTTTCATGAAAGTGATAGCTTAGGCCAGCATGACTAATACGCCTAGCAGTTGTCTGGAGTCACAGTGAGACCCAGTGTCGGATAGATGTTACTGGCAGGAATTAAAAGACAGATGAGTTTAGGTTTTTTATGGATGGGGGTGCTCTAATGTGCTGCAAATCAGCTGGAAAGTTGGCAGAGCAGATGTTCCTAATACTACTTCTGAGACAGCACTTGCTGAAGTTCAAACTGCAGATAAACACAATCCAAAAGTGATCCTAAATGTCTGCTTTCCTTTAAGATAAGGAAGAAAAATCTGTAGTATACAGGTACCAATCATTATATGTAAGAAGTGTTTTAGTCTTGCCTTCCCAGTACTTTGTACAATTATTTGCTTGTGTGCAAAAGAAAGTGTGAAAGTTAATTTTTTTTTTAACTTGGGAAGTGTTTAATATTAAAAATCACTAGCTAAACTCTCAGTTGTATACATAAGGTGATGTCAGTGGGACTTTAAGTAAACTCTGTTAACAGAGTTTAATGTTAAACAGTCCTCCCTCAGATTCTGCTCTCAAATGCCTAGAAAAGCAGGAGTAGGGGTAGTTCTCCTTTCTCTGTTTTCAGCTTAGAGAAGTAGGAAGAAAAATAGATGTATTAATTTAAAAAAAAAAAAAAAGATAGGAACTTAAAATAAAACATTTGCCCTGGCAGCATAAAAAGACACAGAATTTTTAATATTGCTTCAGGTTTTTTTTTCTTCTTTTGCTGAATTGATGTAGTTTATTTGTCATGGGAGCTCTCAGGAGGAGAGCGCTGGGTGGCATGGGCACAGGTGGTGGGATGAGCAATAAAGGCCGATGGGGGTCTGTGGGCTATGATCTTCACCTCTGATGTAGGGCTGTGTAAGGGAGTTGTTTACTCCTGCTCCGTCATTTCTGTGCATGTGTTAAGAGTTTCTTTTGTAATCCAGTCCCCTCAGGAAGGGAAACGCGACTGCGACTGCACATTAGTTTCTACTATCAAGAGTCAAACAATTAGTTTCTGTCTTTACAGTCTGTCATAAGGAGTGCTCTGTAATTTCAGACCATAGCAGTACAGTCTCACCTGTCTGGCAGAGTTAACATAATTTGACCAAATGCAGTCAGAGAGCTTGCTTTTGTATTATGGTCCTATGGAGAAATGTATTACTGAATGGATTCAGTGTCCAGCACTTTCTCACAATCCTGAGGTGTCAGGGAGTGTTTGCTCTCTTTGCAAGCTCGATTCTTGGATGCCTGGCTGCAAAATAGAAGAAGGAGTGATAGTTCACATCTTTGCTTTTATTTTGTTCTCTCCCTGTTCTACTTTTAATCAATATCTTGATTGCTGGGGGTTTTAGATGATCACCAGATCCAGTTGTTCCGGTTGCTTCTCTAGTTTATATTTATGTGAAAACCATCTGGTCTTAATAATGGTCTTAATAATAATACCTCACAAAATTGTGTAAACCTGAAAGGTCACAGAAGCCTTGCAACACGTCTTAGTTCTAGGCTGAACAAACTCACTTTCCAGAATTTCACAGGTTTCGGCCATTGTTTGGTTTAGACCTGTGGTCACTCCCACCCTTCCTTTTTTTGGAGCAAATCTAAACTGTATCTTCCTTTGTAGTGTGATGTATTTGAACTAAGACTTGCCCACTCAGTAAAAAAGTTAAATTAAAAAAATTGCTTCCAGTGGCTACACGTAACCCTCCTGGTGGTGTAGGTCAAAATGAGATTTGCCATTTACTTTGCACTTCTTAGTACTGCTCTCTAGCTGAAAAGTCTCCCTTTTTGGTTTTGGTTTTCCTTTTGCCTGTACTGAATGGCCTTTTGCTCATTTCTCTGCCCACACCCACTTTCTGGACCACTTCTCTACTTTAACAGGTTAATTTTGCATTTCAATTTTGTGAATTTGCAAAAGGCTTTTCTGTGGGTTCCATTGTAAAAACTCTCCTTCTGAAAATGGCAGGTGCAAAATCACGCCTACTATAATGAAGCAAAATTATCATTCACTCTGTTAAATCAACCACATCTGTAATCTTTAACATCTTATCTTAATTAGGGTCTGTTTATCCAGTCCCACCTCCCCTTTCCATTCCGTGAGTGCTGCTGTCTTGCAGCTGGCTGTGGAGATGACCGTGCTGGGTGTGCCGGATGATGGTGCGTCTCCTACTGCATTTTTGTGGTCTTCTAAAATTTCAAATGTCATTCAAATGATGGCCAAAGCATGGATTTTGCCTGCAGTCAGTCTTTAATCACCCTTTTAGGTATTGCAAAGTTCCATTAACCCCATTTACCCTGAGACTAATAACAGAAAGTTGAAAAGTGCAAAGCCTGAGTTCACGCTCTGTAGATATACTCTGGTTATTGAAACTATGGCATCCCATGAAAGAGAGAGAAAGGAAAATACTCTGTGTCCTTTTACGTACGTTAGCTTCAGGGTGCTCATGTCTGAAGCAAACCTGATGGTGTGCTGTGGGAAGACAGCGCAGAGAACAGTATCACCCAGCTTGGATTCTGGAAGGGAACAAGATGTTCATGAGCCGTAAGTGAGGTTAGCATTTCCTGGTACAGTTCAGTCCATCCCTACGCTAGCTGTAGGGTTTAGGAAAATGGCTGGTGCGTCCTGACAGCAAGCTGATGGCTCTGTGCCACAGCTGCGTGAGCCGAGGATTTCAGGGAACTGGCAGCATGTCTCTTGCGCCAATATATGTCACTGTTTTCCAGGAGAGATTAAAAGCTTTTTGCTCTGTTCTTCGCATTTTGATTCACACAAGTGAGATCCTGGCTGCTCAGGGAAACCTAGGGAAGATTCAGAAAAAGACCCTAAGGTAAGGAGACCTTTCCAGGACAGTCCCCAAACGAGGTGGAAAGCAGCTGTTTGAAAGCAAGCTTTGTAGACCAGGGAATAAAGGAGGTGGTGGGAAAGAGCTTGCTGAGACGTGTAGTTAGAATTAATGTCACAGTGATAAGAGAAGAATCTGAACAGGAAAGAGGTGTTCCCAGCTGCAATGAAAGCACACACTGGTCTGTTAGCAGCTCTCTATGTGCTTTATCTGCATATTGTAGCTGTGCAAGCTCGGTGTTACACCACGGTGATTTAGATTCCCAGGAAACAGGAATGTCACTAATTTAATTTTATCTGACCATTCATTTTAAAACATTTTAGGAGTTACTCTTTACAACCTGTGAATGGCACTTTATAGCCTTCTGTGCTTTTACCAGAGCATCAGTATTGCTGTTGCCTCTTCGTCAGCCTGCCCTAACGTGGTCTTTCCTCATTTGGTTCCTGGATTTCAGCAGCGATGGAAGAAAGAATCTCATGAGTTGTCTTCTTGACAAAGTTGTTTAATATTGCTGCGGAATGTGACTGTAGTAAGGGCAGAGAGAAACGATCACATGTCTGACTGACATAACTGCTGTCTGAAATACCTGCACTTGGTGCCTGGTGGGGACAGTACTCTGTTGTTAAGCTCACCTTGGTGGGCCAAGGAACGTGCCCTCGTATGTTCTCTTCTGCCTAATTGCTGTGGCAGGAGTTACACTTTGTCAGTTCTTAGACCTCTGATCTGTAGCTGTTTCTCATAGCTGAGGAGCTACTTGCTGTCCAGAAGAATTTCAAGGAAACTTACACCTAAAAAAAAAAAAAAAAAAAAAAGAGTCATGAGTTCCTCCTCTATCCATTTGTAGTAATACATTCAGTAAAAATCTGGTATAGATACTTCTGCAGCAAAAGGGCAAAAGGTATTCTGTGACCCCACATTTGGCTGAGATTTTAGGTAGAATTTTTTAGTCAGAAATACCCCCATCATGTAAAAGCAAGTCTCCTGCTGACACAAGAGTAACAGAACAGGAATTCATGAATTATGACGATAGTATCTGCCAGCATTGACATAGGTGCTTTAAAAAAAAAAAAATTCATGCGCGTCCAAGCTCCTTTTTTTACCTCAGCACTCCTGGTTCTCCAACAGCTGCAGCGGGGCACAACGTATGCTATGTCCAATCCAGTCTGCTGGTGAACTCGTGTTGAAATAGGTTGTCCCCTGCCCCCAGACACACATTGCTCTTTGTCGGAGATGAGAGTCGCGGAGTGAGTCACACCTGCTCGTTGATCCCATGGACATCTCTTCCTGAGTGTGTGTGATGACCAGATGCCACGGAAGGCAGCCGCCTTGGACGGAGGCGTCAGGGCCAGTCCTAGAAGCAGCTCTCAGACAAGATCAAGGATGTAGCTTCACATCATGCTTCATGTTCTTCATTATCCTGCAGTGTACTTCGGTAGCTCTAGAACATCAGAAGGAGGGCAACTCCAAACCAAGTGGCAGGTGGTAGGACTTGTTAACTGCCTGGGGTGTTGCTCCCATGGCGAGGGGCCTCCTTCTGGGTCAGAATGGCAGAGAGCAATTTCCTTGCAATTCGACAAATTAGTGCTTTTTGGCATAGTGTTGTTTGGCTTTGGGATTTTCCTTGAGGTGCAGGGAGGGCAGGTTTAAAGTTAGGGTTTATTGTCCCACTGCCAGCCCTTCCCTTAGGGACCCTGTGCAAAATGTCTCTCTAGGAAACATTCATGGTCCTGCGTAGTAAGGAGATAAATTCACTGACATGGAATCAGGTATTTATTTATCTTTTACATTTTTGACCCTGGTTTGTTTCAGAGAGGTGCAGAAATGCTGTTTCCAGAAGAACAACAACAAATGTCAAAGGCACAAGTGCTGCTGGCAAAACCTGCTGGCCAGGCCCCCTCCACTGAGCCCTGAGGAACGCTTTCTTGTTTGCCCCACAGGTGACCAGCCAAAAACTGGCTGCTCAACATACAGCTGGTTCCACTCTCCCCTGGAGCAGGCACACAGAAGGCTGCTCTAGCCCCAAACCTCTTTTCAGGTCCCATGGCAAGCTGAAGCTGCTCATTGTCCTGTGCAGCTGCTCCGTGATACAAAAGGAACTTTATTATGGATTGTACTCCACGCTAATGGAAAGCCGTCTGAATTCCCTTAGGCAGTTTTTGGGTATAGTGCCTGTATAGGCAGCTGGTTAATACAATATCACCTAATCCATCAAGCAAGGAAAATACCTCTGAGTTTTAAATACTGACCTGAGAAGTAATTATTATGTCTGATTATTTTAACTGTCTCCAGTTAAATACTTTCAGCAACATTTTCTCTTATTTTCAAAATTAATGCCACATTAATGTCCAGTGGCAAAGAAAGGAGTGATTGCAACCACTCACCTAGCTCCTTGGGTTTGTGTCGTCACTGCAGTGTCTAGTTACCATGTCTGACTACAAAGAAAATGTTGATGATAGGTTTCATTGATGAGACTGCCTTTGAAAAGCCTCTGTGATATTTTCTGGAGGTTCAAACCAGTACCACCATCCAAATTCTACTTTAAGCCTGTACTGACTCCTTCATCCAGCTCCGCTGCAAAGAGTCTCTCCTTTTGAGGTCGCTGGCAGGTGAGCGCTGGTACATCTGGCTGTGTTTCCTCTCCTCACCTGTAAAATCTCTATAATCATATGATTACATGCATTTGAAAGAAAAGGTTTTGTTTGGTTTTGTGCTAAAGAAACTTACTGAATTTATGTTAGTAGAGTAACAAAATTACTTCCTGTATTAACAGCAATGCTTACGAAGAGTTCTTCCTTTATTTTATCTTTGTTAAGAGGAGGAAGCAAGAAGTTTTGAGGGATTAGATGATAGTAAAAGATTTTTTCTTTTCTTCTTCTTTAGATAAATATCTAGGGATCACAATTTTCTTTACATTGTATCTGAGGGCATTGGATGTAATTCTGAAGTACTGTGAAATTTCACTGCTATTCCAACATGAATCTTTAATTCCCTATTTACAGCCAGTGCTGATTTCCCATACAATGGTCAAGCTATAGGAGATGGAGTTAACAGAAACTCTGCCATCATTGGAGGTAAGAGAAATGTCTGCTTTTCTGAGGTGCTTTGCAGTATGACTGTGACAGCTGAATTGCAGTTAGTAGTAACACATCCAAGCTATTTGCCAAGAGCTGAGGATGTGAGAGAACTACATCTAAACAAAGTTAAATAGAAATCCCTGGAGGGGTTCAAGGCCAGGCTGGATGAGGCTTTGAGCAACCTGGGCTAGTGGGAGGTGTCCCTGCCCATGGCAGGGGGTTGGAACTGGATGATCTTTAAGGTCCCTTCCAACCCAAACCATTCTGTGATTCTGTGATTTGTCTAAGTTCGCTCAGGCACATTCTCCTAGTGAAATGGTTTGTTCTTGCACAGTTTGTCCCCTCAGATTCAGTTTTAACCAAATCAAAATACTGATACACATATTAAGCGTGCATGTGGGGAGCTACTTTGCAGTAGTTACTTATGTTAACAGAGTAATTAATTTATATGAAATGGCAAGGACACTTTTCCAGTTCCAACAGATTCAGCATGGATCTGTGTCAAGCACTATTTGCTCCACCCTTGACAAAGATCCTTCATGGATTGGTTTTTAAGGGCCAAGTTCTGCTGTAACTTATGTGCAGGAGAGTCCCAGTCAGTGGGATAGGTAATGCTAGGTAATGATAGGATATGATAGTAATTTTGAAATAGCATTCCATTGAAGATATTCTGGCCAGCTGGCTCCAGAAACAAGGATCCTGATTACTTGTATGCACACTTGCAATTTTCTCTTCCCTTCCCGTAGTATGGAAGTGTTGCACCATAATTCTCCTGCGAGAACCTTCATCAAATTCGGGAGGCATAGAAGAAAAATTGTAAAGAGCAGCCTAATAGCTTTCAGTCAGTTCTAAATGCATATAAAATGAGATAGTGGTGGTGGCTTTTGTCATGTAAAGCAACACTGAATATAGTAGTACATGTGGTCTAATGGAATTTCTCATTTCTTTTCCCTGGCCCCCTCAAGGGTCTATGTTTCCATATCCAGTTTTAGATGAGTTGCTTTAGTTTTGATTTGCTATGTTATTTTTTCCTTTTATATTTTTATTACTCCTTAAAATTTTTCATTAATACTGAAACCTTGCAGTGCTAGAAGGATAGCATTGCATTCCTCAGAAAAATTCAAGCCACACCTGAACAGCCTGGCTGTCCAACAAAAGTGGCATAACCTAATTCTGGCTGGTTACAATATTACTTTAACATGAGAATTTTATAATGTCTTCATCGTGAAAGATCATCATGCCTGGAGTGAAGGACCAAAACTGGAACAGTGCTGTTTTAGCACGTAGTTACCTATGCCTAAGAGGGTAAGGTATATGAGACTTCTCCCTAACAGGGCTGAACCCCAAACAGACCATTGCAGGGGGAGCAATTAGGGATAGGTCTGATGATAAAGCAGTTAACTTCGGTAATTATGCGGAGCCAATGCCTAGTGGGTGATGTGAGCCAAGCCAATTTTCAAGGACATGTTGAATGGCTGTTTCCAGCCATTGACTGGAAAGTATACATCCGTGCCTCCATCCTGAAAGAGCTGTCCCGGCAGTGACACATTGCTATTTCACCCCCGTGTTTTGGGAGCGCTGGGCACCCCTCTGCCTCACAGTCAGCAAAGCTCACCTCTGTAAGTAGGTCTGAACATTGAATTTTACGTGTGAGATGAAACTCACCAGCAGACTGCACTCAGTGACGTTTTGTGTGAAGCAAAAGCTATATATAAATATTAGAGTCGTGGGAACCAAGCAACTGCGGTGGTGTTTAACTGCCTGGGTAGCTTTGGCACAGCTCAGAGCGGCTGTGCCACGATTTGGTGTTCTCCTCACTAGTGGCCTATTTTCTCTCCTCCTCTGTGTAGGCGTCATCGCAGTGGTAATCTTCACCATCCTCTGCACTTTGGTGTTCCTCATCCGCTACATGTTTCGCCACAAGGGAACCTACCACACCAACGAGGCCAAAGGGGCAGAGTCAGCCGAGAGCGCCGATGCTGCCATCATGAACAATGACCCCAACTTCACAGAGACCATCGACGAGAGCAAGAAGGAATGGCTTATCTAAGCCCACAGGGAGGGGGCCTGGGGTGGGATACAAGCTGGGCCAGGGTGGGACTGGGATGAATTTTGCAGTGGGGAGAGAACACTCTGCATCGGACGCTTGAGCACACGTATGGTAAAAAGATCAGCACAACTGGAGGAGCAAGGGACAGGAAAATACCACTGAGACTGGAGGAAAAAAAAAAAAAAAAGAGTATCTCAAGCATTTAAGAAAAAATACTTTTTAATATTTATTTACAGCAAATTACCCCTTCTGTACCCAAACAACTACAACAAAGAGCAGTTTTACAGCTTCAGCATTGGTTCAAATTTTTAGTAATACCTGTCTATTTCTCTGTGTGTTTAGAGGTGTTCTGGATACCCGCAATGAGAAACGGCGCTGGTTTTTTACATTTTTAAAAGCTGTTTGAAACGTGGGTAGTTCTGTCCTGAGAACAAGTGGCAGACCTGTCTTCCCGGCATCATGTTCCTTCATGGTTGGCTCCTTCCCCGCAGGCTGCCCTCAGGCCCGCACCGTTCATTTTGGTGGCATTGAACTGGGGGCTCGGGGCTGAGGGTGAGGATTTGTGCAAATCATTCTGGTCAGTTTTTCAACGTGTCATCAGCCCATGCCAACCCTGGCAGGATCCATCTTCTTGACCCAGGCACCTTGTTGATTGCACACAATTCTCATCAGCAATGTAAAAATACTGTTATTGCAACCACTACCACCACCAGAGAGAGAGGATGATCATAAAGCACAGGAAGCTTTGGGGTTATTTTTTATCATTATTATTATTATTATTATTGTTATTATTTTGTTCGTCTCTGAGGAAGGATTATGCTGTGTGAGTCTGCAGACCTAGTCTGTTCCTGTGTCTTTGGCTCGGCGCTGGTGACCTGACGCCAGTTGAAGCGCAGCTTTGCCTGTGGCATATTGGCATATACTGTACTTAGGCTGAAGCATTTAGTAGGGAATTAGAGACAGACTTTGCTTATGTTTCTTTTCTATAGGCTGTCACAGAAATATTAGTACAGGTCTAGTCAATGCATTTGAACCCATGGGCTTCACATAACACTTTTTTTCCAACTCTAGCGTAGCGATTTATTCTTTAACTCCTTTGTTTCCGTCCCTTTCCGAGGAAAGCCTCTGCTGGCAGTGTTCACCCAGGCAGGAAGGTGAAGCACAGGAGGCTTGGAAACTGCCCACAGAGTACGTGAGAAACAGAGAGCGCACAGAGCGGAGTTACTTCTCAATACAGAGGTTTACCTGAACTATTTTGCTGTCTTTATAAGGCATTTTTAAGAATAGCAAGGCCAATGCCAAATGAAGCATTGCACCCCATGTCCCCTCTTGGACCAGGGAAGTTGTAGGTGTTGCCTGAGAAGCAGGCAGGCAGCTTGTAGGAAAAGCAAAGGGGCAGCCTGAAGACCTAATATCGTTTTTATGGCAATAATGTAGCTTTAGCTTGCCCTGTGCAGAGGAGTGTGGTTCTCCAGTGGTCTGATTTGATAGGAATTTAAGGCATTAATGGGCAGTTTTGCAGTGGAACATAATGAAGGAGTTAATGTATTTCAGGGCATTTGCTGTGTGCTAAAAAACCAGAAACAGTACAAAGAATTTCCCTTTGAAAGTATTTATGCCCGTGACAGTCCTAGATTTGCTTTATCTTTAATATTGCTGGGTTTAGTATGCACAGATTTAATCCATTTTTCTGTACAAGAAAGATCTATTTTTCACCCAAATCGACAACCTACTACACTGAGCAGTGCTGTCATCTTTAATGTCCTTATTATTCTGGTTGATGCTTTAAAATGGAAAAAAAAAAAAATCATGGAGGGGGAGGAAAATACTGGAGTCCTACCAGACAAGAAATTTGTAAGCACAATTTGTCAGACAGAGAAGGCCAGATAGTTTGGGTTTTAAGGACGATAGCCTAAGTCATCTTCTGGATTCACTGAACATAGATAGCAGATCAAATCGAGCCCATTGATTTCTTCTGTTTATGGATTTGGAATTAGCATACAGTTTCAAAAAAAAAAAAAAAAGTCTGTTTCTCAGGTGACATTATGTGGCAGGGGGTTCAAGCAGGCTTAAAAACCACTTCTGTCAGTCTTGTGCTCTGCAGCCTTTTTGCCTTGCCTCCAGTATTAGCCTCCCCCTCTCTTGTGTTTAATGGAGCAGATGGGTCCTTATTCTTGTTTAACTGTGGGTGTCAGTCTCCACCCCTTGGAGACTCCAGCATGTGATGGATCTAGCCTCCACCACTAACTATTCAGCAACATACATAGCAATCACAGATGCCTTTCTAGGATTGCAAAGGCATTCTCTTTTCTAGATTGTTTTATGTTTATTTTGATTTTAGTGGTATTTCAGTCCACTCTGAAAAACATCCTTGCCTGCAGCTTCAAGTTACCAAGAGAAGTCAATATGGTGTCGTTTGCATCATTTGGGGTTTGGTTTGCAGCAAAAAGTTACTTACTAATCTGAATTGAGTGTCCGGGAGGAGGATCAGACTTCTTTATCCTGAGAGACTAGAGTCCTCTGCTGCTTCACGTGGGAGAGGCAGACTTAGCAGCCCCAGTGCAAATTTGTGAAATGCCTTAGCATGGCACTAGAGGGGAAAGATGGCTCAGTCTCTGCACCTAGTCCTTACTGAAGCTAGGGACACTCGTCTGGGTTATGGTAGTGAGTGAGGTCTGTGATGTCTATTCACTGATTTCCTAAAAGATCACAAGCTCATCTCTGTCAACCCTGGAAGGAAGAATTCCTGGAAAACAACCTTTGACCATTGCACAAGCAATAGTTGTAAGTTAGTGTCTTCAATTTGAAAAAACAGGTTTTAACAAGTTGTAAGCATCTGCATCTCTCCATTGACTGCCCACCATGGACCTCTATGGGAAGTTCATTAGTGCTGTGTTAAAATGTTAATAGTCTTGAATCTTGGCATTATTTTTTCATGATACAGTCATTTTTTTCATAACTCTAGAAACTCTTTGAGTTATTAGAATTCTTGTTTCTTCTTAAACTGGACCTTAGACACGATGTTGTAAACTAGCAGCTGGTCTCTCTATAGGCATTAGGTGACTGTAGGTGAATTCCTGCCTGCCTGCTTTTTATTTCATTTCTGAGAATGACGTATGTTTAATTCTAGGCAGCAGTCGTTCGGCAGTGAATTCAGCACAGCAGTGAAGCAGGAGCTGGCTCAGAGAAGCAGCTTGTGTATTTTGCTAGCACTATATTCTGAGGATTTCTTCCTCTGCAAGCCTATTACTGAAGGTTGAAACAACATCCATAGTTTACTTTACCCACTCTTATTTGTGACAAAAATCCATGTTGTTTAACAGGTACTATCCATACACCCACCGTGGGAAAATTTGTTGGAGGGGAGAGTGGATTGTGCTTTTATAAAACTCTGTGCTTTCCCCAAAAAATATTAAAATAATCAGTCTGTTGTCACCTCTTTTTAGCTGCTTCACCTGTTTGAACTGTGCAGGAAAATGTAGCTTCTTGTACTGGTTGGGGAACCGAACTGTCCCCGTTGAGTTTCTAAAAGGCTTGTTCCTGGTTCCACGGGAATTGATGGCGAAACTGCTGCCGGTGGTGGAGAGAGCAAGCCTGGGCTGGAGACTAGGGCTACTGAAAGAACATCAGCAATATTTCAGATCCTCATTCACAACACAAGCAGACCACCGGGTAGTGAGTCGTGGAGCTCCAAAGAGCCAACATGGTGGAAAACTAATTTTGATGTCAGCCCAGCCTTGAGGGGAAATCCCAGTTTGAATCAAGTCTGCTTATTCAATATGAAGTGATAGAAAATTTGGATGTATGAAATAGGAACAGGTATATTTAATTGGTAGTGGAGCATTTCTGTTTTGTATTTTTCTTGTCTTAAAATTTACCTTTTATATCTCTTCTAGCAGTTACCACTTTGAAGGTATGGCAGTGTTTTAATATCATGCCCTAGGTAGCGTGATGGATGTGGAAGGATGGTCATCATAAATATTTTAGTAAGACTGCCAAAGCAGTGGTGTATATGTACAAATTTATTGTAGTGATAAGAATTCAGTTTAAGGGTCCAGTAAACAATTACATTTTAATTAAAACAATGTCCTTTAATGGCAGATGCCTCTAATTTCTAGGCTGTGTGTTGGAATGTGAAGCTGTCTCCGTTTGACAAGCAATAGCTTTTAATATGGTTCCTCTCTTGAACAAGTTAACATTCCAGCAAGCATGGTGATCCTGAAAAGGTGCCATTTTTGAAATTTTAAATTCTGTTAATCAGATTTCATTATCCATCTTAGAGAAACAAAACAGGAACCTTGCCTTCTAAAAGCAACAGCGTGTAAACTAGAACGAAAGAAGGACAACATGTATGTACGCCTAATATCTTCTGTGAATGTCTTTCCTTTTAATTAAAGCTAACCAGATTGGTAAATTAAAAAAAAAAAAGAAAAAAAAAAAAAAAGAAAAGAAAAGAAAGAAAGACATTTGAAATAGTTTTAATTACCCTAACAGCTGTTTCCTTGTGCTTTGTGTATTCTGATCATTGTCTATATTTTTTCTTTCTCTAGTACCAGGAAATCAGTTTGGAAAGGATAGAAGTTGGAAAGGCCTCTTAAGGAAAGACCCACAGTACATGAACAAGGGACTTGAGAACACAGTTATACATAAGCAGAGAGGGTGCTAAGGTCTAGGGAAGATTCATTGAATGGAAGTGTGTTCCTCCTGCATCAGGCAGCCCTCATTACTTGTTACGGAGGAGAATCTCACGCAGCATAGATCTGTCCTTGTTGAGTGGGATGACGGTCTGAGCATAGGGCTTTGGTAGAAATTAAATTACTGCATTTCTGAGGTTTTTCCCTTTCTGATCACTTTGCAGATAGCAGCAAGCAGCCTGCGGTCGGTTCTGTTCACGTTTGTTATTGCAGGCTCTGTGGCATTGCCAGATTCCCAAAGAGTTACACGCTACAAGTGGCAGAGTGTGGGTTGTCTGCCTTCCTTTCCTGCCGTAGCTCTGTCCT